GCGCGGCACTTACAAGTGACCGCGCGACGCATCGAGGCGCAATGGCTTCGAGTTTCGAAATTTCACGGAATATACATTAGTTCGACTATCAAGAACTCGGTAACTCGAGAGATCTTGTTCGACCTATGGTGAAAGGCAGTTGTCGAGAGAGGACTCGATAAATCGACTCGAGCGATTAAAAAACTGTGTAACGATAAAAAAACTCTAAAGAAAAAAAATTTTTTTATTTAATCTTGTTTGATAATTATTTATACTCGGCGTATGTATAAGTTACAAACTTTAAGTGTGTTCAAAGAAACTTTGTCTCCCTCCGAGAAAAAAACAAACTTGAATTATTTAACAATTTCATAAAGTTTTCTTGCAGTTGTAAGTAACGCGAGAAAGACCATAAATGTTATTATTATTATTGTTGTTGTTATTATCCACACCGTGTGTTCCCGACTTATTTGTCCAATTCAGCTGTGACGAGTAGATTCAATGAGGTATAGAATCGATGAACTTTAGTCGAAGGGAATTTCTCGTTAGAATTCCGAGCCGTGAGAATCCTGACGGGACCAGAATAATAAGAGCCCTACGATATTAAATTAATTTGATTTGGTGTGTACAGAATGATGGATATGGGAGAAATTTTCGGCGGACATAACTTCGTGATCGAGACGTCGATCGCAAACTATTTATTTCGCGGCGCGCGGCCCGTCATTTTGTAAATAATGAATTGTTTCAATAACTGTCTTGTAAAATTGTTTGTTTTTCTCGGACATTACGCGTTTATATGTATATGTATATATGTATATGTACGTTTGTGTGCAGATGTATAATGAGAAGTTCTAAGAAATTTATATAATAACCAACTGTGGAGATCTGCTTTGATATTAATTGAAGATGACGCTTGATCGCTTCTGTTAATGACTCTCTCGGAAAGTTTCGCGTACTATAAACGCGGATCGATACTAACGAGAAGCAATTTCCATCGAAATAATTCGAGGGGATAGAAAGCGCGCCGCTTCGTTCGCGCGGGGGTGTGAGAATAAAAAAAAAAATAGAAAGGGGGCGAGAAAGTCGATGGTACAGAGGCGCGAGAGCGGCAGGATCGGGCGAGGAGAAGAGAGGCGAGTCCTTCGAAAAAGAAACGAGAGAGCGAACGCAATGGAAAAGTCGCAAGGTCGCGCCCGGGGTATATAACGAGTTCGAACGAGCGGAATCGGATGACATCCCGGACCGGGATATAGACAAAGGCGGGAAACGGAGAAAACTAAAAGGGACAGCAACGGGGAGGGGAGGGGGGGAAAGAGGTGGAGAGAAGCGAGACGGCGCGATCATCCGTCCGGAATTAAATTGGCCGCGGGCGAAATGCTCGCGAGGCCGTGAAATTACCATTTTGAAGCTGCAACGCGCTCTCAAAGCCATCGTCTTTTTGCTCGCGCGCTCTTCTTATATTAGCGATATTCACGCTCGCGTGAAAAAAAGAGCCGATAAGACAAACACACGCAACCGTCAATCAAATCGCGTTGATGTCGCGATAATCCCGGCTTACAGAAGCTCCCGCGAATTTTTCCGCGAGAGCAATCGAGAAGAATCCGTCGTGAAATTGCGAATTTCTTCGTCACACGCTGCCGCCTGCTTCTATCTCTTCCTTTCACTCCCCCCCCCTCCCCTGCGTCATTGTAATGACACGCGCGTGGTGACGTTCCGCGTTCCGAACAATCGCTGATTAATATCCCAACTAAACGGCGCACGTTGTCGATGAATAATGCGCGTTAACGCGCACGTGCATCCGATGAACAAGAGATGAACAAAGAGAGACGACACGCTGGCAAATTGTATCACGCGCGCGTTGTGCGGGACGCCCCGGAGTTGGTTAATTGCTAATTAGCGCGAAATCCTCGCGGGTTCGGGTTGCGGATAGCGGAAGTGGAAGTAATTTTTGCGAATTCGCGCCGCTCGGGGCGGAAATTCGGCCGCGCTTCTAGTAATCTCGCCGAAGGATCGGCATTAATTAAGCAGCTCTCTCTCTCTCTCTCTCTCTCTCTCATGAAAGAAAAAAGCTTTCTCGTAAAACGAGGCACCGAGCGTAGGTCCGAGAGACCGAGAGACTTAAGTTTTAAAAGGGAGTGGAACGAAAGTAGGAAAAAAAGCTGGCGGGCGAGAGAGAGAAAGAGAGAGAGAAAGAAAGAAAAAGAGGAAAAACCACGTCGCTGCCTGTGACACGTTGTCGCGGCGTCTTTTATATTTAGTAATATGCGAGAAATGCATGTAGACGTTTGCGAAAAATCTCACGATATAAAATTATTCCCTCTGTTTATTCGTCGATCTCGATGAATAGCTTCTCCGCGGAAAGCTATAATCTTTTACGACGCGTATATAAGGGAGCCGTTATTGCGGCGTAATAAAAGAATTATTTACTTCCTATCCGGCAGTTTATCCGCTATAATATGATAAAACGCAATGCGGATTGTTGCGTGTGTGCGTGTGTGTTGTCGCAGATGCGCGGCAACAATGACGAGCAAAGATTTGTAATACTTTCAGTTTCCGCGGAAACACAAACGGCGGTATCGCCGGGTGAATGTTTCCGCGGCAAATTCACTTTTATTACTTAATTAATTCCGACATTTTTTTCGAAATCATTTTCTCGTTTCTCATTTTACATCTCAGTTATTTAGAAGAGCGACACAAATTACATTTAATATTTTTCCGCGTTTCTTCGTAATTTTAATTTTTCACTAGCGTGTGAAAAAGTGGAAAACCTCAAAATGAAGCTTGCTCTAAGCGCGCTTTAATCTGAGGACCGCCGCAAAGAGCGTTATACCGAGGATCTGACAAAAAAGCGTGGGATAAAACCGAGAAGAATAATAAGAGAAAAAGAGCACGGGTTAAGTTACTCTCTAAAAGTAAGTTGATAAAACGTTAAGAAAAAGAAAAGATCGGGAAATGATCGCGCGATGAAAATCCGTAAGGAGGAGGAGATTTCTCGTTCGCGCTCGAAAAGTGGCGTCTTTGTCGTCACCGAGTGTATGCTGCAACAAACGCGCGTGCCTTTTGTCGGCGGGGAGAGAGTACACGTGACCAACGCGGTCACGTTGAATTCACCTCAAAGGTGGTTTCAAGCTCGATTACCGGCGGGGAAGAAATGAGAGAGGGGTACGGAGAGGGGAGACGAGCCAATTTACGGTACGCGTAATTAGGGTCGTTGTCGGAAGGCGCAGAAAAGAGGAATGAACGAAAAAAGCCGGCGGCGGAAAAATAGCGAGGATCGCTGTCACTTCGTTGCCACTACGTTTTTCTCACCTGTTTCTCGCGGAAAGAAGAAGAGTTATTATGCGTCGCAAAAGTTGTATATATGTATTTATGTATGTATGTATTTATGTACGTTTCTTTGCTCCGACCTTAAAAAGCCGCACGGCTTTATACGTTCAATGCGAGGATTACATTATAACGGCGGCATGTTTGCAGCAGTTAATTATTGCGCGTACCGTAATTATATAATATAAACAATTAATTGTAATTAAACATTTCATTATTGTGGTTATTAATTTATCTGATGAATCTCTCTTATTCGATTACTGAAATTGGTGCCCGTGGTGTGGTATATTAATTTAAACTGATAATATTGGTTGTGAACATTTTTATATTTTTACAACACCTACGCGATAATAAAGAAAAAAAAAAAAAAAAACCTGCTGACAAATATCTTTTTTTCGTCGAGGCTCTCCTCGGTTTCTCTGTAACGATCGACGTCGTCTGTAACGTCTCGCGCGAGATACTCCGCATAAATTGTTCCGGAATCATTTATTATACGCTCTCTCGGGACAGAAGGACGCTATCATCGACGGCTTAAAGCTCGACGTGTAACGTTTATGAATGTTTCCCGAGTGGTCTCTCAGACCTCTCTTTAAAGCGCCCGTAATCTGTTCGCGCGCTATGAATGAGCATCGACTGTCGCGACACACCGAGTTATTCGAGTATTGACACGGCTCGCTCTCTCAATCCTCTCGTCACGAGAGGACGGCTCTTGAGCGCGGCCGCAGAGTGGAACGGTGGAAGCTGTGAGCGCGCGCCTGGCGCGCGGAAACGCGGCGACGAGGGGTTGGGACGGAGGGTGTAGGCCGCCCATCCTTGTGGCTGGCTTAAGAGGGACGGCGCGAATGGAAAAGGTGGGAAAAGTTTACGGAATCCGTTCGCCCCGCGGCGTGACGGGATAAATCGTCTATTCGACAAGTGTAAGTTGTACGATCAAGCGCAAACTTCAATCCCGACGAATGGTCGCACAACTTTTCGCAACACAAACACCGACCGCGCGCAAATCCACACGGGCGCGCGCATCGGATAGCGACACATTATCATCCCCGGGCGCGCGCGGCTTTCGAACGGAAGGGGAGAGAGAGAGTTTTGCTTTTCGTGAGAGAATTTCGGGGGATCGTCCGATACGCGCGCTTTTCCTTCCCCCGGTCTCGCGTCGCTCTTTTGCGGAGAACACAATGGGATCCCGCGAGATGGGATCAGTGTGTTCTGGCGCAACTCAGTTTAGTTACATCTAGTGCTTTTGAAACGAAACTTTTAGCGAGAACGAACACGCGCGATTAAACTGGAGACAATATATTATTCAAATTGTTATGATTGTTTGAATAATGCATTGCGCGTAGACAATGGAGCTGAGATTTTTATGTTCAATTTTAATCCGTGCAAAAGATAATAAAAAAAAAAAAAAACTGGCGCAAATTAATGTAATTGCGTACATTCATATTTTACGAAGCTTGTCGAAAGTAAAACAATATAATTTTGTATTTTAGTTTTTAATTTAGCAGTAGTTTGTCTTTTTTATTCTCACGCTGTTGCGTTTTTTCATTAATTGATAATTTATATGTACATATTTATAATCGTTTGAGATAAAAATAAATTTTCCCGTTTTCCGAGACGGGAAGAGGTCGTAAAACGACCTAAAAAAACTCTAAACCAGTTGCGTTAAATACCTCAATCAGTTTGGACTGCATTTGGTTTTGCAGCAAGAAGATGAGAGGGTCGACGACTCTGTTGATCACTGCCGTCGCGATGATTCTGCTGTCGCTGACGGCACGCGACGTCGCGGCGGAGCTGTACACAGCTCTGGCTGACATGGAGGAATTGCTGGAAACGGAAGCGGTGCTGATTGACACGCTGAACGGGTACATTACGGCGCAGGAGCAACGATTGGCGACTCTGAGAAGGTAAGCGCGCACGAAATCCGAGGGAAAGAGGAGGAGATGCGCAAAGCACACAAATCACCGACGTGACGCAACTGAGCCGGAACGTCGCGCGTGCTCCGAGTCAATTATCTTCATGCTCTAATGAGATCCTTCGCGGAGTGCGGTTCTCTCCTATCTTAGCGCTAATTAAAATATCGCGCGCGTGACGCGCGTCACGTAATCGCGGGAGAGACGATTTCCGACGGGACGCACGCACGTCCCATCGATTTTCGAATTTCATTCAATGTCGCGCCACAAAGCACCTTTTCTCCTGGAACCTTTTTCGGGTTTTTCAATATATTTGCTTGTGTCTTATATAACTTCTGCGCTGGAGAAATCGTTGTTTTCGAATTGTTTTTCTGTGGATACGGGAGATTGCGATTCCGTGTTGCTGTTGATGGTCGTTGATTTTTTTTTTTATCACAGTTTGTTTTCAGTATTTCGCCAGGCGTGCGCACATCAAATATTTTGAATCATTCTCGGAGAAATAAATAATTCTCGCGTGTTGTCGAATCCTTACGAAAAAAATCCTTCGGTTTATTTTTCTTTTCATCGACGCGCTTATCAACTACAAAATAATTTGCAGATTTTTATGGTTACTTGGATATCGCCCATTGATTTTTTTATAGTATTTTTAATTGACTTTTGTACTGTATTATTGTTCGACATACAATTCGGAAATTGTTATTATCCAGTTACGTGATACTCCGGCGCGGCGTTCATTAAACGCCGCGGCCCGATAACGGAAAAATGACACTCGCCGGTGTAAAAATCGAATCGCGGCGACATCAATGTCGGAGTCGGGGAAAAGCGGTGGATCGTATCGAGGCACTTACCGGCGTGACAATTTCCTCTCGTTCCATTTCCCTCAAAAGCGCCATTAAAGCAAACGGTGATTAAGAAAGGCGGGGGAATTTTACGAGAAGCCTCGCGAAACGGTTTTTCCTCTCTCTCTCTCTCCATCTATCTCTCTCTCTTCTCTTCCCGACCGATTGTCTTCCTCTTTTTCTTTATCTTCCCGTGGGTGCGATTTGGCATGCCGCCTGATTCGATACCGATACTATTATCTCTGTGGACTGGAGGAAAGAAATGGGGCGAAAGGAAACAAGAAAAGAATGAATACATTAAGACCAGATTCCGATCTCACTGAAATCGGTAACACCTGTGCCAAAGAAGAGGATAATCGTAAAATCGAATCCTAATTTCTAGCAGAAGTGACCAGATCTATTTAACGTAAATTCCGCATTTTGAGAAGCAGATAACTCTGGTTCTCGAAGAAGTCGAATGGTCTTTCTCTTCATATCGCTCTAATTTGGAAAACGCACGAATTTAACAACTCGGGAAATTAAATCTACAAGATACAATTATCGAAAACACATACAGTAATTTCGCATATAAACAATTTGTATTGTTGTCTAAACCGAATGACAACAAAACATACAAAGCGTTATTTTACGTTATCTCAAGTTGAAACATAATCTCCCAAACTCGTTCAAAGTGTTTTCTAAAATTTGTAATTATTTTTTTTAAATTTCTATAATTATTCGGACTTGCATCTTTTTGCGTCTAAACTGGACGGAACAGCGCGGACACCCGCTTCGAATTAACCGCGGCGCGTTTATAATCCAAAGGACAGCACAGGATAATTTAAACATCTCTGTCGGCTACACAAACCCGCCCGGATGGAAACGCACCGTGATGCGCGCAGGACAGCGGAAAAGTTTTCAACAACAACATTTATATGGGACAATTCCGCGCTCACGGAATTTAACACAGCGTGTTGACGATTATACACGCGGTCCGCTCTCGAGAAAATCCTGTCACGGACACTCGACACGAGAAGCGATGTGCTCGTCGCGAACGGGTCGGGGATTTTACACTCAACCCGCTCTCAATTTCTATGACCATTCAAAACACGCCGATTGCAATCAGATCACGTGGCGGTCATCTCGCTCGCTCGCTCGCGCGCGCGCGCGCGCGTTTGCGGTAGAATCCGCAGTTCGTTCCTCCGCGAGTTTCGTTCATTAATCCCGGATTGATCGCGGGACTCGCGCGGACGGAATCCTTTCAACGCGTTGATAAATTGGCGGAGATATTATCGTCATCTGCGCGATTATACAGAAAAGAGCCCTCTTTCAATTGTACCGTTGAGAGACAGAGAAAGAGAGAAAGTATTTGCGTGCAAAATTTTTATTTTTCACGCAATCCGATTAGCAAACTTCAATCGTGATCGAGCAAGTCGCAAAATCAATCTATTGTTTTCTAAATATTTGTTTCTGTCTATTCTTTGTTTGAAAAGTACAAAAAAAAGCAATATATATGTATATTTTTTTTTTAACCACAAAAGTCAGAATGTATGTCAGGCGTATCTTGATATATGATACGCGCGTATACAGCGCGATAAGCTCCTTTCGCTCCAAATCAGATTCTTACCGAATCGTTATTCATACGAGCGAAGCCTGGCGCAGCTGCCTGGATTTTTCACACCAGTCATAAATCAGCTATCATAGCCGTCGATCATAGTCGCGAACTATCAGGTACGTAGTGAAAATCATTCGCGAAGAATATATCTCGTCGATTTTCCTTTCCCCTACTCACTACCACCCGCTCTCTCTCTCTCTCTCTCTCTCTTCCTTTTTCTCTTGCCGCGCTTCCCCCCCTCCCCCCGTCGTATTCTCCGTTTCTCGTTTCACGCGGATGTTCAAAGTTTGGCAATCGCAATCCAGTCACGTGATGGCCATTTCATATGAGAGGAATTCTGAGGCGCACACACGCACAAGTGAGCATATAATGGACACACGTATGCGAACTGATGGAGATATAACAGACGTATATATATATATATATATATATATGTATATGTATACGCGCGCGCGAGATTGAACTCCTCTTCTCCGCACACTTTTCGCACGCTTAGTACATCATCACACACACGCCGAACATTTATTATATTTTTCGTAAGAAACACACTTATAAATATAATTTTCTTACATGAGAGAGAGAGAGACACACGATTAAAAACAAACGCAAACGTAAACAAACTACAATGCGCATCGCGCCGAGATTCATTATTTCGTTCGAGGGCGTATAACTCAATAAACCGAACAAATTCCCGAAGTTTCCGAGAGAGAGAGAGAGAGAGAGAGATGCACATTCTATCTTCCGATAAGTAACTGCATAAGTTCGCCGCGAGTCCTTCATGGATATTAAACGGCTTCTTATCTCGCTCATGAAACGGATATTATTCCGATTAAGAACGGCACTTTCAAACGTTTATCAGATATCGCGATCGCGCACGCAAATTGACTCCGAGCTTGTTCATTAGCCTAATGCGGAAATGCTCAATTCGTCGCTTAATTTCGCCGATGGGAAGAAAAACAAAAAGTACGTTCGCCGCGAGGTGCAAGGATCGTTTGAAAAACGATTGTTTCTGTATTAAATAATTAAAAAACAATTGATGTGTAACGCGATTATCAAGCGCGATATATTATCTTTCTGGTTAATGTCATCGGGCTTCTGTTTTTTTTTTTTTTTTTTTTTTTTTGCGAACTTTTTTTTTTTTTTTTTTTTTTTTTTTTTTTTTTTTTTTTTTTTTTTTTTTTTTTTTTGCGAACAAGCGCGCAAGTAAAACGCGGCTGCAGTTTCAACTGAAACAAAAGGGGATAGTCTGAATAGTAAAGCCGGGAGATTTAAGGGACAAACGAGAACCGGGCTGAGACGCGAGCACCGGAAGCGCCATTACTGGTATTAATAATCGCGATTACCGCGGGTACCGGTGGCCGTTGAGCGCTCCCTCGAGAGGGAGAGCTTCGCGTAATTGGCTCCGATAAGATAACAAAGTTCTATCACAGTCGTCCGCGCCTGTAACTATTTGCTTCTAATTAACCGTCCGCGCGGCGATCGATTTGTTTTTATCGCCGATTCGAGGGAGAAAGAGAGAGAGAGAGAGAGAGAGAATTGTGCGGACGGGCGTAGAGAAGATCTCCTCGAGGATCCTCATTTAACTGGGTACCCGTTACCTTTAATTAATTGACGCCGATGTCTGGATCCTCGATTTTTATCGCCCACGGGAAGGTGTGCTGCGCACCGATCGCGCCCGTTATCGCGATACGATTGTAGATGTTTGCGGACGAATATGAAACAGACGGGCGACTGTGTTTTTTTTTTTTTTTTTTTTTTTCATATTGCTATATATAGTTTCCGCGTCCGCAAAGGAACGAACATCGTCATTTTAACGGAATTTCACAGATCGCAATTTGAAACTTGCGCGTGTTCGTTATTGGGTCGCGAGTGAATTGTCAAAGCTCCGACGACGTCTCGTTCCGCGAGAAGCGAAATTGATATCTTCCTTGTTAAATAATCGAGTTTGATCGTTTTTCGCGAAATAATACTCGCGGTTTGACGCGCGGGACATACAAAAAGAGCACACACATTCTTTTCGCACACGACGTAGTCACGTGTGCGCGCGCCGTGTGTGTGTTTAACTTTTCGATAATTAGATAGGGGAAACATGATCGGAATTTCGACGCAATATTTCTCTTTTGTAGAGAAAGAGAGAGAGAGAGAGAGAGAGAGAGAGAGAGAGAGAGAAAAAGAGTAAATACACGACCGAGAAATCGATCGCGCTGATATGCGCCACGTGAAATTCGACCGATCGGATGATTGCAATATTTTTTGCGATAAACTTGAATATTCAACAAGCTTAAGATTTTTCAATCGAGAACCTCCTTTCATTTTCAATAAAATCCGATTGAACCTCGCTCGACAATAAAGTTCGGACTCCCTACCCGCCCTCCTCCCCCCCATAACAACAAGAGATTTCATTCTCCGGTTTCGACGGCTATCAAATGCGAAAGAATGAAAAATCGAAGGAGGAATTTTGAATTTTGAATCTCTCTCTTGAATATATGTATTTCGTCGCACAAAAAAAAAATATATTTCTCTTCACGTGTATTTGTCTGGTATGTATTTTCCCCACATTTTTCCTCGCTCTCCCTCCCACGCTCTCAATTGCCTGTGTAACTATTATATCATTGAAACCGTGAAGCGAACAAATTGTGGACCGGTTGTCGTCGCCGTGACGATCTTCGTCAGTTACGCTTTACGGCGCGCGAAATACGAGCCGTGTCATATTTTTGTCAAGTTTTGTTCCGTTGCGGCGGAATAAAACGGAGATTGTGTGAATTAATGTCGCAACGACGTGTATTGTTATTGTTATTATTTATACGATCTGTAAATCTTCTTTCGGAAATCTCTGTGTTTTACATTTAGCTCCGACGTACGGATTACTCGAGGAGTAACATCGTTAACAGCAACAGATCGGATCGCGCGGGCAACAGAGGCATAGAATTACGTATTGAATATTCGTGGACGTGGCGGCATCGAAGATGCACAGGACGTACATCCACGTGTGTGTGTATATATACACGCGACCTACGTGCTCTACCTCTAGGCATTATAGACAATGCCTGGGACATGTATTAGCGATGTTCCTGTCATCGTCGTATCCTGATACACCATCTCTGTGTGTAACGTCACATTATCGGTGCGAAAATTAATACGCGACATTTCTCGGAAACCGCGCGCATTAGCGTAATTGCTGACAAAATTCGCATAACTTGGACTCGGGACCGTTCGGATTTGGGAAACGTTGGTGGGAGATCGCACGGGAAAGAGAAACTCGGAGAGATGTGTAAAACAAACACTTTTTGTATGAAAATTATTTTTTCAGTTGTTTTTTAGAAATAAAAATAAAATATACATCTTTTTATCAAGAAAACCATCATCATATAATTGAAGATGTTTAACGAAGTCTAAGGTAGTAAATATACAGTTTGGTTTTTCTACATACATATATGTATATATATATATACATACATATATATATATATATATACATGTGCAGTAGTATGCGCGCGTACGTATACAAAAATGACGTCTGTGTGGTGTGATTAAACATCGACAAGAAAATTTTTTATCTCGAGTTACGCGAATTCATAGACATCTCAACATATAGACATTGTTACATTTTTTTTCCGTTTATGTCTTCAGTGATAAAATTTTTCAATTTTTAGGTTTTTTCATTTTTTCATTTTTTTTTTCATTTTAAGAATTTTTTATATTTTTTTTTATTTTATAAACATTTTTTTCATTTTTTTTCTTTTTTCTTTTCTTTTCTTTTTTTTTCTTTTTTTCTCTTTTTTTTTCATTTCTTCTACGTGTATATATATTTATGCTCGTACATAGTAACAAGAAGGTATTTATACGTTTGCATTAAATCGAAAATGCCTGTTTGCCTGATAAATATCAACACACATGTACACAAAATGTTCCTGAGAAGGTTTCGATAAAATTTGCTGTGAGACTTTTTTTTTGTTTTTGTTTTTTTGTTTTTTTTTTGTTTTTGTTTTTTTTGTTTTTTTTGGTTTTTGTTTTTTTTGTTTTTTGTTTTGGTTTTTTGTTTTTTGTTTTTTTTTGTTTTGTTTTTTGTTGTTTTTTTCCTCGTAGCAAAAGAACGTTCAGGCCACCAGATCTTACCACACGATAGTAGGCATCTATCGATAACAAATTCATAAACACATACACACAATGATATATACGTTAGTTAATATAATTTATATATATATATATATATATAGTTTATATACATGTCCGTAATGCATAAGCCATCACGCAGGTAAAAAATCGAGAAATGACATGCATGGAACTCGTCAGTTCGGTAAATTTTTGTGTGTGCGATCGATACGATCGAAAAGAACAGTACACCGCTACGTAAGGGCAAGTTGTACAACGACTCTGTTTCTTAGAACGGACGACAATAATCTGGGGCAACCAGAGGAGGAAGCTCGGTGAAATTTTGATTTTGAACTGCGTGTGTTTTCATCAAAACATTGGTTTGCGGTGGGTGCGATACGATATATCTTATTGGTACATTGTACGCAAGTGGTATTTGAACATATCGAATGAAGGGCTGTATTCGGGGAACAAATACTTCCGCGAGTGGGTTCAACGGACACATTTGTAGCTTGGGAACGTCCATCAGGCATGCCTTTATCTGTTCCAGATCGATACCCTGCAGAGAGGCGACTTCCATGTATTTTTTCCAGTGCTCTTTGCAAGAACCTATGGTGAGCAGAGCGATCGGGTCGCCGAAGACCGCCACAAGACACTTTGCTCTCGTCAACGCGGTGTTTAGTAAGCGCGGATCCGTCAGAAATCCGTAATCCTTGACTTTCGCCTCGGCGGACAATCTGTAACAATCGAAAATTTTCATTGAGCTCGAATTATCAAAATGTTTGTATTAATTTACATTTACGTCGATATATACCTGTCACATGTCTTCGTTCGCACCGTGCTGATAAACACCGCGGTGAACTGTTTGCCTTGAACGTTTAACACTCTTTCAACGGATACGTCAGAAAGATAGCGATTGCGTAATTCTTTTCGCAATGTTAAAACTTGCTCGGGATAGTACGCCAGAACTCCAATGGATCCCTCGCCGTAGGGACCCCATTGTTCGGTCGGCCATGTGTTTTTCAATTCTTCAACGCATCCTGCTATCATTTGTGCCTCTGACTCGTTGTAGTATCCCGTAGAGTGTACGTCCTATGAAATGCACAGATTGCACCTTTCTATTTTCTATTCGTCGATGTTTTCTAGCGTATATACACACACATATATATATATACATATACGTACCTTTTTTTCTGATCCGTTGACGGCATAAAACGTCAGTGGTTTTAGAATCGGATGTCTCTTTAATTCCGTGTTGGCAGATTTGACTTTGCCGTTGTAGAATGTCTTGGACGTATAATCGATTATGTCCTTATGCGCGCGATAATTGTGACACAGATGTATCCGACACGGATGATTTGACGGATAGAAATTATTCATCCTTTCGAGAAGGCTAATGCCCAGTCCTAGATTGCTCGCCAATACGCTATAGATCTCCGGTGCGAGTTGCATGTGATCACCCGCCAAGATTAGACGAGTATGAGCATTGGCCAGTGTCAAAGCTACCAACGCCTCGCATTCAAACGCCTGGGCCGCTTCGTCAATAATTATGTGAGTCAGATCTAGATCCAATTTGATCAGGCAACTCGAAGTCGCCAGTGTGGTCACTATTAGACCGCAGTCGCGAAGATCATTCTCCTCCGGGTCGCGAAAGAAGTAATGTTCGTCCATCAGACAGTATTGCCGAACCACCGGATGCACCTAAATCGCGAGGACAATTACAAATCTTTCGTTGAAAGATTCTTCCGTTAATCGTTCAGAAAGAAAAAAAGACGAAGCAATGTCATTGACCTACCGTGTTTAATGCGCGCCTTTTGTAATAAATCCGAACGGGCTTAAATCTGTGGTTTTTATTCTTCGTGTACCAGAAGTGGAAGCATTCCTTGATGTAAAGATCCGCGGCGCTATTGCTGTGCGTGCACAAGAGTATCCGATTGTCTGGATTCTGCACGAGCAGGTGCAGCACGTGCGCCAGTGTGAACGTCTTGCCCGTGCCGAAGGGTCCCAGCAAGAGCACAGGCGCCGAAGGAGTGGTGTTGACCGGCAGTGTCATCACCGTAGCTGCTTGCTTCTGTTCCTGATTAAAGACCGAATTCAACATCAAAGTGGAAATGAAGTTGAGGTCGTTCGCATCGATCTGCAGGAAGTTGTGAATAATATCTTTGTCGATCTGCAGATGTTCGTCCCTCAAGAAGACCAGGTTCACATCCTGAAGAGCGTCGACTGCTAAGTGCCACTCGCAGAAATTTAAACGGTTCAGCACAAATTGCACCTCCAATTGGACGTCAGTATTGGCGTGCTCCGCCGAGCGCCAGAAGTTGACGCAATCCTTGCTCAGTCTGACGAATAAGTACGGCGGGCACTTGTCCTCGATGTAAGCATGGAAAATCCGATGTTCCGAGTTGTTGTTGGGTCGCATCTTAAGTAGAACGCTATTACAGCTGCGTTGCATGACCCTACCGCTCTGCGTGTCCTCCAGGATATCTCGATTGGTCAGGAGCTGCGATGGCAAGAAATGTCAGCTTTTTGCTACAAGCGGAGAGAGAGAAAAGGACAGATCCTTAGTCGACCGAAAAAGGAAGAAAGTTAATAAATAAACAGGAGAGAACATCCCTTCTCCTTCTGAGCGGAAATTAGTCGGGATTGAAGTTAGCGAAAGAGAAAGAGAAAGAGAGAGAGAGAGAGAGAGAGAGCGAGAAAAGAGAAAGATAGAGTAATAATATACGCGATGGGTTTGTTGTGTGCGAGAAAAGAGCAAGTTTGCGCGCGATAGATTCACAAGCGTAACGATAACCGCGCAAAGATAGAAGAAGAGAAAGATAATGGGGAAAAAAAAAAAAAGAAAAAAAAATCGAACACGTGTTGACACACAACAAATGAATCAGATACAAAAAGCGGAAACAACTGAGTCTGTCTTCTCAACAAAAAAAAAAAAAATTAAAAAAATAAAAAAAATAAATAAAAATCGCACCTGTGCAAAGAGTTCACCGGGCGGCGCATATTTGGTCTCGGTAGAGTTATTATTCGTCAGCTCGTAACTCGAGAGCAATCCCACATAAGAGATGTGATTATATCTCGAGAGTTGCTCGTGTCTGGCGATCTCCTCGAGTGTGATCATTTCGTGCAAACGACCCCGATAGTTCTGTGGCGTCAGCTCCTTTTCCGACAACGTGTCCTGGGTGAGGAAGAAATTCTGTTTGTCGGGAAGGGGATAGATCTTGGATAATTTGATCTCTCTGGGATCTGTATAAGACGACATGAAGGAAATCGAATCGAACTCGTAAGGATTTCCCCATATCGGTGACATTTGCGAAATCTGATATTTGGTGGCCAGTTGAATGCGCTTATAGTCGTTGATCGAGAGGTAGTCCGCGCAGATCTTCTGCAGATATACCGGATTACGTCTGAATCCGAATATCACGTTCTGCCGATACGTGCCGTGATTGTTGGCGGTGAACGCGATCGTCACCGTGTAGTGTCTCTTCTTGCATGGATCGAAAGTGTTTGCAATAGAGGAATCGTGCCATTCGTTGCCGTTTGTCACACCGATCTTGATGCCGTCCTCAAACACGGTCTTCAAGTCGAAGTTGTCGCGAAAATCGTTTGATAGCAAGGCTACGTTCCGCAACTGCTTACCTCCTTTGGGAGAGATCAGATATTGACGAAAAACAATTAAATGTAAATTTCGAAGAGTGGCATACTAAGAGTTGCATTAGTATTAGAGAAAACAAATTTTATCGGTATCTCTAATGAAATTTCGCTGTTGTGTTATTTCTGTACTTGACCGGAGATTAATTGGATTTTAATCGATTACAAAGCGAGAGAACGGGAAAACATCTCTGATATGCGGTTTAACGATTCATTTAAAACTCGTTTACTTAATTTCTTTGCATTCCGAAAGTATAGAAAAAAATACATGTATTTACATAAAATTTTAATTTTTACATTTATAACACACAAATAACTTTTATTTCCAAAGAAAAGAGAAAGAGTCTCGCTCGTTTGGAAAGATGTGAGATTTCTTATCTTATTTTCGAAATAATACTCGATAACAAAGAACAACACACGTTTCCTGAGACTAAACTACCACAACATGTCTACCACTCAATCTCAACACTCAATCTTTCTTTTGTAATTTTATAACGCAATTACCAAAACAATTACGTTGATATACAAATTATTGTCGAAAATATAAATCAACAACACACACGCAAGATCACGCAACACACACATACGGACCGAATGTAAACGTTTATTAATATAACATGCGATTAATAATCGAATAAGTATTTTAACTTTCCCGCGAAATCGCGACAAGAGACGAGCACATGGTTGTTGCCACTTACCTGTCGTGAAGATGTTGAACTTCCACTCGTATGCGCCTGTCTTACCGACAATTCGACAATTCACACCACCGTTCAAACATATGTACACGTCCGGTTGTTTTTCGCAGCTAACAACGGTGTCCGGCTCGCCGGATCTGAACCATCCGTACTGTACCGTCGCAGGAAAGTCGGTGAGATACGGCGTAGATTGTTTGCCCGAGTCGAACGTTGCGTCCGCCATGATTAGCACTCGCGGTCGATTCGACGCGAAACACTTGGCAACGGCGTGTTAAATCGTACTCACGTTAGCGCGGCGATCCTGCGCGCGTGTCGGGGGAACACGCGCGGTCGAAAATATTCCGATTAGATATCACATAAACAACACCTCGCGCTCGCGTTCCTTCATCGGCATCGTTCCTCGGCGCGCGTTGTCGACTAACAGAAGAGGCGTCGTTGATATACCGTCGTGCGGTCTCGGACGGAATCCTCGGCGCGCATGCGCGGCAACGCGCCACTGATGGTAACGACTCGACGAGACCGTTCTTATCTGCCGAGAATAATGAAGGAATTTCGTAACGGTGGGTGACAGAGGCCCGGCACGGTAAAGATGATTCGTTCCGCAAAATCGATCGTCGCCTCGCACACGCGATTAGCCTAGCCAATGGATCCTACGCCTATAATGGACTTTTAATAGCGTTCTTCCAATCTAATCTAAACTAATTTGCAGCAAAATAGAAGGTACATTTAGCTAGATATTTTATTAATGGGAAAATGAGTAGATTTAGAGTTGAAATATGCGATACGTTTGCGCGAAAGTGTGTAATTAAATTAAACAATATATGAAAAAATTGGCTTTGACCGATGACAAAAAGGTGTATTTTTTTTTTCTTGGCAAGATATAAAAGTTTGTATTCGTATGGAAGCGAAGCAACTGCGAGTAAATTTTCATGCAAATCCTCGGCGGTCTCGTGGAACCACCGGAAGTGACTAAATGACGAACGCCATTATCCTCGCGAGAGTATCCCCGGGGGTGGCTGAAGTGCTGAAAAAGGGTGGCTGAGGGATAAGAGCGACAGGTTGGTAGTATCCGTTATCGCATCGCATCACATGGTGAGTTGAAAGCTTTCTAACTGCCGACCACTTTTCACCAGTGGTGGATTTAGCGAGTGCGGAACCAGAAAAGCACAAAACAACACACACATGAGAAGAAAAGTGTTTCGAACTTCACTTTCTTATTACGTGCAAACTAAATGTTATAAAGCACTTACTTGTATATTAATTTTTAATTGAAATACAAAATAATTTAAGATAACGTATTTTTCTCGAAAAATACAAAATTATACCGTAGAGAAAAACGTGATGTAGAAACTTTAATGTAAAACAAATACAAATTATTTTTTTCTTTTTTTTTTTAGGTAAATAATACACAAAAAACAAAAAAAAACAAAAAATCTCTTTTTTCGTAACATTTTTGCAACAACTGGTAAATTTTTGTATCAAAGATTCTTTAACATATGTGAAACGCGCATAACGAGATCCGCTACTGCCTTTCATGAGCTGAATTGTCTGTCCCATATGTACCAAGCTGTTCCATTTGCGTGGTGACGCGAATAGAGAAAAACAGCCGGGAGCATCGCGGAAACTGACCGGAGGCGGCGTCGGCGGCGATGACGGCAAATATCGCACACAAAGCGCACCCGTTGTTCATGAAAAATGAGAAAGAAGAGATTATAAAGTTCATCTCTGCAGAGAGAGATATTGTACACATATCTTTTTCGCGCGCGTTGCAGGATACCGCACAATCCTTTTGCGGCGAATTTAACTGGGAAACGCATGTATTTTAATAATTACGCAAACCATTTTTACGTCGGACACACAACTTGCCCCGGCTGCTGTTGTCTTTGTGAAACGCTGAAAAATAATACGATAAAGCAACCAGAGAGTAAATTTCGGAGCGGAGTAATTTTTCAAGTGAAGCAAGCGCGCGCTTTTGCGCTCTCAACACATCTCTTTATCTTTAAAACATTCTCGTGTTAAAATAGTTGTCTCAGCGCTACGGTTGAAAAAAAAAAAAAAAAAAATTCAATCTCAAATATCGTCGGGAGGATCTTTTGTTGAAAATTGAAAGCAGGATTTTTTTTCAGAGCCACCTCTCAACGTGCATCTCTCGACGTGCAATGCTTCAAAAAGTCGAAGCACCCCGCGTTTATGGATGCGACGCCAGCCGCGTCCAAAGGGAGATGAGAGAGGGACGATGAGAGAGCGAAAACCGCACGAGAGAGGCAGCCGGACCGATCATCTTTTCGTGGCGCGAACAGCGTCACACACGCGTATCGTTAATTAAAATCTGTCGTCAGCGATGCGCCGCGAAACGAACGGCTGACACGACGGGGCCAGGAGGAACGGGTGAAAAATCGCGCTAACGAGACGGCTTTCGTTATTGGCTCGGAGCTTCGTGATACAAAGAACTATCGTTATCGGGACCCGTGTCTGTCTTTCGCACGACGCTTCCCCACGAGGCCTCAACTCTCTCTCACATGCCGCTTTTAATAAAGCTCTCCGTATCGACGTGTCATTTAGCCGTTAGCGCGTTAGGGCGGTCTCTTTTAACGGGCGTTCCGAATCATGTAACGTTATATAGCGAGGGAAACGCGCTGCGTACACGATTTTTGAGATAACGAACGTGCTTTGTTACTACCATGAAAATGATACAATTGCAGAAAAAAAAAATTTGCCGGAAGAGCAAGAAATTTTTTATCACGGGACTAACGAGAAAAATTTGCTAACCTCTGTTTTGTTGACGAAACCAAAATTCGAGTAAACTAATTTTTTTGTTTGTATAATAGCAACAAACTTTTTTTCGTCTAAATTTAAAAAAATAAAAAAAATAGAAGGATCACAAAAGTGTTAATTTTACTTTTGGAATACAAAACATATTGAAAGATGCGCATTGATTCGAGTGATTGACTTGCTATTCAATCAATTAGTTAAAAAAAGAAGCGTCAATCTATTTCCAAAAATATTTATAATTGTCGGAAAAATTGTACATACTTATGGAAACATTATATCAAGTGTGTTTGTCATACATAACTATCGTCATTATGTTTGCTATTAATTTTGTGTATACAGTATTGTGCATACAAGCCATTGTATATCCGGGGATTAAGTTTTTGTCAACAGTGACGTTTGATTATTGGGAGCGGGTTTTATTTCGAGATTTATTTTTCGCGATTGTAACAATTACCAACAAATATATACGTGCGAAGTATTGCATGGTCGCTCGCAATTCCGCTCGCCGGCAGCTGTGAATGTCACGTGTGAGGCACATCGCGGAGGTGAGAGAGAAGCGTTCGAAGTCACGCGCACCTGCTGCGTTTATTCCCGTAATTTATATGGCGCGTCATATACCTTTGGCTAACGATCGACCTGTCGCGTTGCCGATGCCCACGTGGACACGTTTTTCCTTTTTTTTTTTTTTTTTTTTTTTATTTCGCGCGTTCACCTACGATTGACATCGTTTTGTTTCGCCAGAATTCCGAAAAAAAGTCTAAAAAGCAAGAAAAAAAAACGTTTTTTTTTTTATCGTTATTAATATGTGTGTACACATTACGATAGAAAGATAAATTAAAACCGCTATTTCAGTTTGTTTTCAAATTTTTACTCGTGTTTCAACGAGGCGTTGAATTAAAATATATATAGCACTCGACCCAGGAATTCACCGTATATTTCACATCTAATACAATATATATCAGCGAGAAAAAAAAAAGATCATTAATTTCCCGACTCATTCGTAAGAAAGTTGACTTATGTCTCCTCCGCGATGAGTGATGCGCCTCTGTCGCGACTTCTACGCGACGGACGTCGGAAACGCCTCGGGCGAGGACAGGTCCTCGTCGTTTTTAGGAAGGAAAAAGTCTCGTCCCTCGACTGTACATTAGAGACGGTGAGAAGGAATCGACGTCTGTTCCGACGATTCTCGGCGCGAGATAAGTCAAGGGAGAGAGGAAGAGAGAGATAGAGAGAGAGAGAGAGAAGACATTTCGCACAGTGCGACATCGGGGACAATGGTGTCGCCAGGTGTCGGAAACGTCTCTATCGCTCGCGGCGGAGTTGATATCACGATGGAATCACGGCTCTCGATTGTAATTGAACGTCGAGTGGCACGTTTCTATCTCGCTTTCTCGCAGATAAGAAGTTCTCGTCGCCTCGTTTCGTTCGCGCAACTTTGAATTGCTTAAGGATATCGGACTATTAATTGGACAAGCCGAGCGATATGATTACGAATAATGAATTTCCCCCGAATGACTGATATTTAGGATTTAATCGCTCAAAGAGAAAGACCGTTCCTTCGTTCGCGAATTCTCTTTGAATCCCCATTTGTGAAACAACAGTTTTAAGTGCAGAATTTCGAACCGCTTTTGCATGTGTAAAATTTTTTTTTTAGAATAAAACAATAAATTCGAATAAAGTTTGCGGAGAGACCGATTTGAATTGGAGGAAGATTTCGAAGGATTTTAATTGAACGATTTAATGCCGTTTTCGATTTCGACTTGTGTCTCGAGCGAATCTGAATTTCGATTCCGAGAAAACAAGACTAGTGCAAAGATTGACTTCTAACTGCTACGGTTTTCTCAACAGATCGAAAATGTGTCCTTTTCAGAAACGTGGAGGATTACGCGAGAGAGCACGAAGAAGCGTCTAAGAACATTCAACAGTATCTGTCGAATCCAATAAACGCTTATCTGCTGGTGAAGCGGTTGACCACCGACTGGAAAAAGGTCGAGGAGCTGATAACCGAAGACGTTGGCAAGTCTTTCGTCGCGAACATCACGAATTCCAGGAGCGATTTGAAATTCCCGACCGACGAGGATCTCAACGGCGCCGCAGTCGCTTTGATGAGGCTACAGGACACGTATAAGCTTGAAACCGCGCATGTTGCGAGGGGCGTCCTGAATGGGGTGCAATACAGCACCGGATTGAGCGGTACGTTTGTGAATCTTTGCAGAAACTGTAACAAAATTAATTTTACGTTATTGATTTGATGTGTTTATTCTATAATTAAGGTATGGATAAAATTTATTTTTAAACAAGTTAATTCAATCGATTAATTAATATCTATTTTTGTGGGTAGATATGGTAGTTTCTTAAGTTGCGAGAAGAAACAATTTATATTCGAAAAAACTTAACATATGTGTGTGTGACATTGTGTACAAAAGTTCGACTTTCCATCGGAAATTTAGTTTTCTGATTAAATATTATTCGCGCGCAAAAGTAAATTGTACGACGCGCCTATTCGCTCTTGACGATGTAAAAAGAAGTGTGTAATGAGCCGTCGGGAAAATTTCGCAGCGCAAAGAAAGACGAAGGAGCGCTTTGCGGTTCGCGAGAAAATTAATTAGCGAACTAACTTTTCCGGCGTATATATACCGTGGCTTCTGCTTGCGAACCTAATAGAACGAAATTCACGACGGGAAACGCCGACGACGAATCGCCTGTATAAAAATGTTTCCGATATGGCGATTCGCCATTTCTTTCTCAATGATCTAATTTGTTTTTTCGTCGCGTTCCATTCGTCGTTCCGCATGTTTCAGCGAGCGATTGCTTCGAGTTGGGACGGCAATCTTATCACAATCGTGATTACTATCACACGGTGCTGTGGATGCAAGAGGCCATGGATCGTCTGCAGGAGGAACAAAACTCCACCACCACGTCCAAGCCCGACATACTGGAATATTTGGCGTTTTCGACATACATGCAAGGTTTCGACAGTAAATTTATGTACATTTCGCGAAGAAAGCGGAAAAATATCTTTAAAAAAAAAAAAAATTAACTCGAGCGCGTTTGACTCTTCTTCGAGCAACGCATATCAAACGTGTTATTCTGTACTTTTTTGATCGCTCTTAGGTAACGTCGCCCGCGCTTTGAGCATGACGAACGAGCTGCTCGAGCTGGTGCCCACACACGAAAGAGCCCTGGGCAATCGGGCGTATTACCAGAAGGAGATTCAAAGCAAGGCCAGTCAGTCAAAGAAGAAACGAGGTGAGGACGGGCAGGACGATACTGCGATTCCCGAACAGGTAAAAAACAAACAAAAACAAAAACAAAAAAAAAATTCAACAGCTTTTCGAAGAGAATCGGACGTGGGAAGTAATTAATTCAATGAAAATGCTGAGAATGCACGAAAAACACTCAGTGATTTTCTCTAATAATAGAATTTACCGTGCAAGAAAATTAATGTACTAGTTAATGCGCATATTTCACGAAGAGCGCGCGCGGACGAAGAAAGAGATCGTTAAACTAGCGGGAGAACTTTTCGCCGGCTATTATTTTTCGAAGATGCGAAAGCACCGGGAGTAATTCCGGCTCGCGCGTCGGGCGTCCATAAAGTTCGTTATCGCGCTTGCAGAACTTCACTGTCGCGGAGGAAAGGGTGAAAACGTGGGACGAAATGACGGAGAGGGAGAGGTACGAAATGCTTTGTCGCGGCGAGGTATCTATTCCGCCGGAGGTTGAGAAGAATCTCAAGTGTCGTTACGTCGACCGTGGAATTCCCTTCCTGAAGATTGCGCCGTTCAAAGAAGAGGAGGCGTATCTAGATCCGAGGATAGTTGTTTATCACAACGTGATCTACGACGAGGAGATCGAGACGATCAAGCGAATGGCTCAGCCGCGGGTAAATAATCGAGCTGTTTTGTTTTCGGGGATAAAGTCAGCCGATCGCGGATATCTTGAACGTAATTGAGTTTTGTTGCAGTTTAAACGCGCGACGGTGCAGAACTACAAGACTGGTGCCTTAGAGATAGCGAATTATCGTATAAGCAAGAGCGCATGGCTGCAGGAACACGAGCACAAGCACGTAGCGGCGGTGAGCAAACGCGTGGAACACATGACGAGCTTGTCCGTCGAAACCGCCGAGGAACTTCAGGTTGTCAATTACGGCATCGGCGGTCATTACGAGCCGCACTTCGACTTTGCCAGGGTAAGGGGAAAGTTGAGTTCGTAGTTCTATGGTATTCTCCGCGCGCGAAACTATTCGTCGCTATATAATGGATCTTCTTTTGTTTTTCACGTGTGCAGAAAGAAGAGACGAACGCGTTCAAGAGCCTGGGGACCGGCAACAGAATCGCGACGGTTTTGTATTACGTAAGTCGTGCAATTTGTCGCGAGCTGACGACTCACGCGAAATAACGCGTAACGTTGTCCCGTTCTGTTATCCACAGATGAGCGATGTCGAGCAAGGAGGCGGCACCGTATTCACTGCCATCAACATTTCGCTCTGGCCGAAGAAAGGTAGCGCGGCGTTTTGGTATAATCTCAAACCTAATGGCGAGGGTGATTTCAAAACCAGACACGCGGCTTGTCCCGTACTTACAGGATCGAAGTGGGGTATGTTGCGGAAAAAACGACTGCTTTTTTTTTTCACAAAATCGTAAGATCTTTAAAAAAAAAAATGTTAAACGACCGAGAAGAATGTAACGAAGAAACAAAAAACTAAATTTCATTCAAATGTACTGCACTACATATACACACACAACTGAAAGTTTAGTTTTGCAAACGAAGAGAATGTTGTATTAATTTCGCAAAACTTGCATTATTACTTTCAGTTGCAAACAAGTGGCTGCACGAAAGAGGTCAAGAGTTTCTCAGACCCTGCACGTTGGAAAATCAAGCTACAGACGAGGTGGACGTCAGGCACTGAGGACAAACTTTGACTTCGTGACTGTACGACGAGAGATAAATAAAAAGAAGCGCGTAGACTAAGAAACTTCCAAATATCTGTTCTGAATAAAGGAAGACATTGTTACTCTCGAAGCGGGGCAACTCTTCGTCAAGATAGATGGATTTCTCCGTAAAGCGAGTATTTAAGAACAAATATGAGAAACGTTTCGGTCCGCGTATCGCAAAAAGCGACAATGCAATTTAGCATGTAAGACAAGTAAGCCGCGCGAGATCGCTGCTCACATTTTCGAGACTGTCACTGACACAGTTTGCGTAATTTAACATCCATACCGCATACGACGATCTTTCTTGCCCGTTCACTGTGTGGAACACGATCCCTCGCATTTTACGACAGCGATTAATGTTACCTTAATCTTCGAGATATCGCCTGCTCCTTCTTCCTCTTCCCGAGCCGCAAGCGAAAACCGGTGAAAAGCAGCGCGGAGACTATCCAAACAAGATTAATCGGTCGCTTTGTTTCTCGTGCGCTTTTCCCTTTGAAACGTCCCGCCCCGTAAAGCGAAAAAGAGAGAGAGAGAAAGCGAGAGCGGTACAGAAACTGTACGAAGCGCGAATCACGGCGACTGCGCTAACAAAGTTGCCTTTTATACAACGTGGATGTTCGCATATGTTTTGTTTTTTTTTTTAGTCTTTTTTAGTCTGATTCAGCGCTCGTCATCTTGCAACTCGCGTTTATGGCAATTGTAACATAGAAGTGTTTGCTGCGTGCGCGCGTTTCCATGAATATAAAAGTGGAAAATGAAAAGAACGTTTTAACAACGCCGTAACTTTTGTTTAAACGAAATAAATTAAGAAGAGAAAAAAAAACAAATAAACAGAAAACGGAACGCGTGCTGTTTTACCGGTTTGTTGCGTCCGGAGTGTTTTCGCCGTTTGAACGAAGGGTTTTTCCGCACGGGTCGAGGACAAGATCCGCTTCGCCCGTTTGTTAACACGTACCGTTAATTGTTTCTATGATGAGAGTAGCCGATTACGCTAAGATCATTTATTACTATTGTCACGTCATAGCCAAAGCGATAATAAAATTGTGCGCATGTTTTGGCCAGTCTCTTTTTATCGTAGATTATAGCGTATGATGTAGAGAAACAGCGAAGAAAAACTCGATGTATAATCATATTTAGTCTGTAGATTAATTGTAATTTTTTGAGCGCGAGTGTTGTCAGAGAACGACGCTCCTCCTCAAGGAGATTCGCATCCCAGGGGTTCGACATTATCGTGCAAATAACAAAACACAATAACTATCATCATCGGGATACTCCGAATACGAGAATTTCTCCTCACTCGCGACGAAATCGGTTTTTTCGTCGTCTGTAAATAATATGGCGCGGCACGTCATGTTTCCATGCCGTTTTCGATCTTAACCGATCGGACTCGCGCTGGCTGTATACGAATTGTTTGTAAAAAGAAAGATGCTGCCCCCACGGTAAGACCGCGCTTATTTTATGGCAGTATGATATGTTACGCATGTACGAGGAACACACAAGTTGAGAGCGTCGAGATATCCCGAGATAACCGTGGAGACTGTGGAGAAACATTTGTTTTCTCTCTCGGCCGAAACTTCGAATTGACGAACGTGAACGCGAAGACTGGATTATCAGTCAATCGATTACAATACACAGCTGACACACAAATATATATTCCGAACTCGTACCGTATCTTTTTTATATCACGCGAGTAATTTCGTCGATTAAGAAGCATGTATACATCCCCCGTTATTGTAGATAATGAATTTATCGTGCTAGACATTACAACTTTGCTATTTTATCTAACTTATGCCGCACGTTAAGGAATCTATTCACGGATCTCTGCAAGACGTTTGGGGACCGGGTGCGACACAAATGTTTCATTATGGTACTTTCAAAGAATATTTAATATTTAATATAACGAATAATATTGTTATCTTAAAGTATTTTAAAGACGGAAGTTTCTTCTGTTGGCAAAAAATCTCACTTTTTGTTGTATCATTAGTTACACAGTGAATTGCTAGGAAAAAAAAGTCCATACAAATTCGATATCTGATTTACGTATTTAATTGATGTACGATCACATCTGAAAGCGTATTCAATCTCATTTATTACATCATTACATATAAATTATATATACAGTCTGACACAATGACCAGATATCGAATTTGTTCACGAATGAAGGAACTTTTTCTTCCCTCCCCCCGAGGTGTCATTCAAAGCCTTTATTTACACACATACAAATCTTGGTGCACAAACTTTACTAACGACCAAGTCTGATGTAATTGTGAGAACGTTTTGAGTTCAGTGAATAAACCCCTTACAATCCATCGATATGTACAAATTGCGATTAAAAAGACCTGTCATGTTCCAGTAAGTTCTATTGATTTACTGAGCAACTTTTTCTCGTACATACTTTTATATTTAAATATCATAATCCATGTGAAAATACATAGAAAAAAAAAAAAAAAATACATTATTTAATTTGTTATAAATTCTCATTTCAAAAAGTTCGTTTTTAATATGATATATAAAAATAAAATAACGCGCGAATGACTGATATTTATAATATTCTAATTGTGATCACTATCGTTTTCTTTGTTAAAAACGAAAAGAAAGTAAATAAAATGCATTACAGAAAAAATTCCTGTGATACTCTCATAATGTGTGACAATGTGTACAAGGGTGCAATTTATTACTTACCTTTCGAATTTAATATTAATTGTCAGAAGTATAAAAAATATAAAGACTCTATTATAAAAACACTTATCAATTATAAAAAACATTAAAAGAGACCCAATTCAATTAGCGTTTCGGTCGGTAAAGTTCGAACTTGACACTTTCCTGCTCGCAGCTCCCACACTCCCACACTTAGGTCGCGACTGTCGCGAGACCGAGACAGTCGCGAGTCGCGAGACTACCGAGCCGGTGTAAGGGTTAAAGGTTAGTAAGACTAAAAACATTTGAAAAGGTTAGAATCTTGTATGTCTATGTAGTTCTACTTGCTGTATGTTTCTCGTAGAAAAGTAAGATTAGTCGAATCCATGACGACTGCTACAATGAGCATTCGTATTAGTTTCTCTGCCCTTCGAACATGCAAACGAAAAGGAAATGGTTGCCAAAGATATGCAATTAGATGCGGTTCTACCCAGGCTGGCACTAAGATGTTAGAACGCTTAGATAACAGAAGTATGTTGCGTGTAAACGGCTATGAAACGTCTACTTTCCTGCAAGGATTAATCACAAACGATATGAAGCATCTCGAAGAAGGAGCTCCTAACATCTATACTTTGTTTTTGAATATTAAGGGTCGAGTAATGTACGACGCTATAGTGTACAAGAGCCAGGAAAACGATTCGTACTTTGTAGAATGCGACTCGCAAATCGTCGACTCTTTACAGAAGCATCTGAAGATGTTTCGCGTAAGACGGAAAATAGATATAGAACATGTAGGGGATAAATTGAAGGTCTGGTCAATGTTTGATTCGTTCAAAACATTTGACACCAAAGCCACTGTGGATGAAAATAGAAAACGTAATCCAGAAGGAATGATATTTCCTTGCGGTACATTAAACAGTAAGACCAGCAAATTCATCGATAACATTATGATATACGAAGATCCCAGATTACCTGATTTAGGTCTCAGAATTCTAGCAGAATCACAAATTGACGAGCATGAGATAATCAAACATTTAGATTCCGATGTGTTCGCTTCTAAAGGTGTTGAGAATTATAGAGCGTTTAGATACAAGCTAGGAATAGGAGAAGGTGTGCACGATTTACCGCCTGGAAAAGCATTACCTCTAGAGATCAATTGCGATTACTTGCACGGCGTTAGTTTTCACAAAGGCTGTTACATAGGTCAGGAATTAACTGCGCGTACGTATCACACGGGTGTGGTGAGAAAACGTTTGATGCCTCTTGTGTTTGAGAATATCGTGGACAAACTGATCGCGTACGATGAGAAGATTCTTGACGAGTCGGGCAACGTGGTAGGAAAATTCCGGGGATACGTAGAAAAATATGGATTAGCTTTGATGCGTATTAATGAATCTCTTAGTGCTCAGCAGCTAAGTGTACTGGGTATAAATGTGAAGGTAGTCAAACCTACTTGGTGGCCCCAAGAATTTCAAAGAGAAACTGTTTCTGTCAAAAACACAAAATGATGTACTTATTTAGAATGAAATTTGTATAGAAAATTATATTATTTAATATATATGTAAAATTGTATGTATAATATATGCATTTAAAATAAATTTGTACGTAAAACCGTTGATGCAGTCAGTGAAATTTTGCTCATTGTTACTTTACAGAATGGAAGCTAGCATATCATCAGACAATGCAATTATTAGCAGAAACGTTCCACAGAATACATCCGCAAATCAAAAAACGGCGAAAATTATAGGCGGCACTTTTACATGTTCTTTTTGTTCCTTGAAGGAAAATTACGATTACAAAGGCGCAAAACCACCGTTTGCTCGACAATTGATTTATTCGGAAGATTGTTATATTATGAAAGATCCCTTCAGTTTACCAAACAGCGGTGAAGTTTTAGTTTTAGGCGCTGATTGCGATATATGCAAACACACGGTATGTTTGGGATGCAGTATATTTTACACAAAGCGCTTTTGTCCCAAGTGCGCAGTTGCAAATATGCAAGATCTACCACCTCAATTACACGCCAAGATCAAGAATTCAACGAAACACGAGAGTGCTGAAAACAAACTTTATCATTAAACAATTCTTGACTTTTATCAAGACAGAGAACTTATACACTTGACAAGTATTACAATACACTTCATAGAAACGTGTGTTTATTTATACATAATTACAGGTAATTTGTACAACGCAATTTACAAATAAAATGTATTAAACTGAAGTCCAACTCGGTTCTTCAATATGCGCGCTTATGCTAGCCTCGTATAACATGATTTCTATAACGCGGCATTTCTGTGGAACGGAATATCCACGTTACATATATATACGAGGATTTACCTGTATTTACACATTTACTATTTTAAATTTCAAAATAATATTTGGTCTCAAATTAAAAAAAATGAATATAGGAAAACTAATAGAAGCTCTTTTAGAAACAATTGGTCGTATATTGTTTCGAATTTTTTTATTATGTTATTAGATGTTAACATAATAAAAAAAACGAGAATTGTAACGTCTCGAGGATGAAGATGTAATGCAATTATCAATGCTTAACTAATGTATAAATTACATGAAAAATCGAAACAAAAAAATGTACAGTGGGAGATCAACCAATTGCAAATAGACGAGCAAGATTCCGGATTTTAATCCGAGATTCACATGAGATATAATTTTATCAAACGGATTTACTTTAATTGGTTGATTCCCCACCATAACTCTTTTTCGTTTCACAAAAGCGAAATGAAAATGAATCATGGTGAGAAGACAACCAATCAGAGTAATTTCGTTCTGTAAATTTGTCTCATATGACTGAAAGAAAAACCAAAAATCGCAACCAATTATTTCGTTTGTTTGGACGATCTCTTATCATAAAACTTTTCTGCTCTAATTTTTTGGGTGCATTCGGACAACTCAACAGTTGCACAACAGTTGAGAGATAATAACTTATGATAGATAGATAGATAGTGTTTATTGATTCCCCTTAGGGTTACAATACCTTACACAAAATTATTCCTCCAACCTCCTTAACCATCCTTCTCCCTCCTCCACTAATCCACACATTCTACACACCCTTTCCCTCTCCCCTTCCCAGTATCTACCTTCTTTCATCTCGTTCCCCAACCTAAACCTAGCCACCCTCTGACATCTGCTTTCTCCCCACCCCTTTTTTAAATACCCCGGCACTCCTTCCTTCTTAATCCTTCCGTACCATCTATTGTATATACCTCGAACTTTCAATCCTTTTCCATCTCTCCTCACTCTGCATCCTCCTCTCCTTCTCTATCAACAATTGAGCTCTCCATTCTCCTGCCTCTACTTTCCCTCATCTCCGCTATCCTTACTCCTCTCTCTTCATAATATTTTATCCTGTCATTCTCTCACTCAGACAACCCCTCCCCACCCCCCTCTCTACCCCTAATCTCCTTTAAACATAGCCTCGCTATTTCGCTACCCTCTCCTCCTTCCAACCTTTCCTCAAATTTCCAGGCTCTTTGCCTCGCCCTTCCCCTTAATAAATCCCTCTGCTTCTTCCCTTACGATATAGGAGGACCCGGAGTCCTCTAATCTACTCCCAATAACCACCTTATATACCTATTTTGTAATCTCTCCAAGCTATCCCATTCTCTCCATCCCCATATCTCCACCCCATATCCAACCACTGACCAAACCAATACGTCGAACAACCATAACCTTCTATCCCAATCCTCACCGAACCTCCTCTTCCCAATCCCCTACACCTGACTCATAATAGCCGCCCCTTTTCTCACTCTCTCTTTTATCTGCGCCTCCCTCCCCCCGTTCCTCCCTATTGACGCCGTCTCGCTCACCAGGTGCATGTCCTGCTCCTCGACGCGGTCGCTCCGACCCCGCACGCACTGGACGACTTGCAGATACGCCACGTCGATGCATCCTTCCCGAAGTAATTCGCGTTCGTTGCATCCTTCCCGAAGTAATTATTAATTAGCCAATGAGGCCGAGAAGCGATCATACATACCCTAAATATTTGAATTCCCTCACCTCCTCCAATCTCTCCCCCTTCCACCACCATTCCATTTGCTTTTTCTCACTCCTGCCTCGTCTCTTAAACCTCATCACTTTTGATTTATTTACGTTGACTTCCAAACCCTTTCGCCAGATATTTCTCCATCCCTCTCATCATTCCCCTCAACCCTTCCTCCTCCGCTAACAGCACCAAATCATCCCATCCGCATACGCCCCAATACATAAACCCTTCTTCCTCCTACCTTCACCCCACCCCATCCGTTCCTACCCAAATAGTCGATAATAACTTATGATTGGATCATATTTTTGGAACCGTAACAAGTTTTGAAGAATAGTTCTATCATAAGTGATCTCTCAACCGTTGTTTTCTGAACTTAACCAATGTTAACATTGGCTGCGTTCCGATATTTATTTCCAGTACTGGAAATCTATAAGACATGTGATGTGAAATATAGATTTTTATTTTTAGTATTGGCAATGAATATCGGAACGCAGACATTATAACAAAAAATGAAGCAAAAACATAACTTCATGTTTAAACTCCTAGTAACTTCGGCTAACGGTTATGGGCACGTTAAAATAATAATATAAAAAAAAAACTCCTAGTAGCTTTCCATTCATTTTTCTTTATAAAAAAATCAGTTTAAATCGGCGCAACATTGTTGACATGAGAGAAAACTTAATATCGCTACATGCTAAAAAAAAGTGAGATTAATGTGTTATCATGTAGACAACAATGTTGCGTTTAAACGTACCTTATTAGATTTCTTGATATTTGCTCACGCTATTTATTAAATTTGAAAATACTGTTTAGGTTTTATGTAAATTGCAAGAAGTTTAAGATGTATAAGTGTTTGCTTTTTATGTTATCATTCAAGATGACTGAACAAATATCAAAGTCTTAACGCAGTTGTATAGTGAGAAAAGTACAACCGTTCATTATTATCAATTATCTCGAAATAAACATGCATAAATGTATGTCTAAACTAGAAAAACTCACGTATTTATTGTAATATCACTCACAAAAAAATATCACTCAAATTCATAAAAAAGCAAGTTTACTTGTAGATGTATCAGTCACAAGTTTTTACTTGTAGATTTATCAGTCACAAGTTTTTACTTGTAAATTTATCAATCACAAGTTTTTGTTTACTATTAGTGATTTTTCAGTCTTCTTCTCTCTTTTTTTGTACTGTTAGTTAGTGATTTTTCATTCTTTTCTTTTCCTTCTTATTCTTCTCTTTATTCTTCTATTTTCTTGTTTCGAACGAAAGAGAAGAAATTGGTATAACTTGTTGATGTAGTCCATATTTTTTAGTATATTTAGGCCTTCAAATTTTCCATGACAGTTCTTGAATGATTCTTGTGTTAGATTCGTATATTCTACTAAATTTGTAGCAGTTCTTGCATGAGATCAATTTTCTGTTAAGTTTGTATTCATAATCTGTAAAAGAAAGTGCAATATATATATATAATATGTTTAGAAGCATTTTTATGCAAAAGAGTTTAATATTTAATGTCTTATATTACAGATTAGTCCGTTATAACTCGTTTTGAACAACAGCTCTCAAACCTTGAAATGAAGTATAGAATCCAAGTGAGGTAGTTATATTTTCAATCAACTGTAAAAAAAATTGCAATATGTAATATATTTAAAAGTATTTTAATGGAAAAGAATGTAATACTTATTTCATGTATTATAGGACTTTTATCCAAACTAAGTTTTAGTTTTTTTTAATGATTGAATTGTGCTATTATTCTCTATTTGTTGCTTGTTATTGGGTACTTACTTCTGGTGACAAATCTTGAGTTACAGTGAGACATACTCCATCGAAGTAATATCGGTTTGTCTTTTGTAATGCACATCTAACAGCTTCATCAGTTTGAAACTGGATATAAACAATTCCAGTAAACTCTTCTGTAACTGCCTTGTGTAGATAACGTATGTACAATGGTACTCCACAGTCTCCAAAAATGTTGCATAATGTCTCACTGGTCATGTCTAGTTTTCAAACCAATGTGATGAATATTTTCATATATAAATTTATATATTAAACTAATAATTTTATACATACCATGTGGTACATTTTGTAGAAATACTCGATTAGTCTGAAAGGTTTCAGGGTTAATAAAAGTGTCATCAAAAAAATGTATGTTCACATAATGTTCATTAATCCATAGTGGATTCATATTAACTGCTTTTTGCGCAGCATCTAAAGTTGAAAAAGTAATCGTTGCTACTTTTATTGTTTTTCGTCCTAATGATGGTTTAACAATTCTTCCGTAATATTTTTTAATCGTGTGAATTTCTATTTGTTTATATTTAATATCTTCACAGCATTTAAAGATTCCTTGAATGAATTTCTCATCTGTTTTTAATGGGAGATTATCTAAGAAAACCATTCTAACTCTCACACTGTAATCTATAGGCTTAGGCTTTATTTTTACAAAAGCTGAAGTACTTATTGGAGTATTCATTTCCTTCTCTTCTTCTCCTGAAGAATCTCCTGTATCCGTGACTGTATCTGTATCTGAATTGCACTCATTTGATTGTTTTTTCTCAATTTTGCTCTTCTCATCAAAATCACTTGTATCTAAGTCTATATCTGTATTTAACACATAGTTCACATCTGTTTTTATAGAATTTTCATCTACATCATCTTTTTCAGTTTTTATGTTACACATTTCTACTTCTGTACTTAATGCATAATTTATATCTGTTTTTATAGAATTTTCATCTACATCATCTTTTTTAGTTTTTATGTTACACATTTCTACTTCTGTACTTAATGCATAATTTATATCTGTTTTTATAGAATTTTCATCTACATCATCTTCTTCAGTTTTTATATTACACATTCCTACTTCTGTATTTAATGCATAATTCATATCTGTTTTTATAGAATTTTCATCTACATCATCTTTTTCAGTTTTTATGTTACACATTCCTACTTCTGTATTTAATGAACAACTTACATCTGTTTGTATAGAATTTTCATCTACATTATCTTTTTTAAGTTTTACGTTACACGTTACTTCTTCACTATCATCAATGAGGAGATTCGCTTCATTCTCTGATCGATTTGTTTTATCCTCCTGTAAATTTTTTGACGCAGTTTCGTTCTTTGGTCTTCCATAGGAAAGTTCCGTACTCTGTATGGATTCGTGTTTTGCACATTTACGGTTAGTGTCACAGTCACAGGTGTTCTCAGTCATTTTCGTATATTTCTGATATTTAACACTATCTATAAGAATACATAGCATTTGATTACTGATAATCCACTATAAGCAAAAAAAGATAGAATAAGTTAAGAACTGATAAAGACCACACACATTGCACGTGGCCTTAAGAGCCGTCTACAATGGAGAGTTGTAGGCCGTAATAGTAATTGTCAATTTCTTACCCTGTGTTCCAGAATTGCTGCCAGTGCTAAAATTGTATAATATATGTGACGTAAACTATAGATCTTTAGCGCTGGCAGTAAATTTTGGAACACAGCCATTCACTGCCAGTACTGACAATGTGACGTCATAAAACAGTGCTGTTTCTATGTTCCGCAATTACTTGTACTGTTTCTTCCATCGTATAACGGAACGATTTTATAGTATCTTTTGAAGTGTACAAACATAACCAAAAATCAATCAG